TTGGCCCTGGTGAAGTGGTGATCAGGACCAGAGAAAGCCTTGGGGACCTTCAGAGAGCAAGCTGGGCGGGGGCTACTCAGAGGGGGATAAATGGAGGCACAGAAGAAGGTTGGTAGCAGGGACGGGGGTGGGGGTTAGACAGCCCGAGTTCAAACCCTGATGTTTTACCACACTCTGATTATGAGGCCATGGGTAAGCGATCTCTATCTGAGTTTCCTCATCTGAAGAATGGGAGTGATAATAATGGTATTCTTCAGAGGCTTGTGCGAAATAGACACGCTAATTTGTTTAAAGTGTTTGCTCTGATGCTTGGCACCCAGTAAGCACTCAATAAGAGCTAGCATTGTTATTTATTTTATTACTACTATCCCGGATACCTGATTGGTGTCATGATTCAGGGAGGAGTGGTGTTAGAAGAAAGCAGATACACATGTCTACCGCCATCTACTCTTGGTAAATCTAAGTCTGCTGTGGTGAATTGGTTTGCAAAATAATGCAGACTAGATTCCCCCCTTCTCACCTTAGGTTTTGTTTTTGAGAATCATTAGATCTGCATCTCAGGTAAAGGTAAGGAGTGGGAGGAAGAGGGGATAAAGGCTAATGGGCCACCGGGCCTCTGGGCTAATTAGAGAAGGGTCATCAGTGGTTTCTTGGTCGTCACACTCACTGATTTCTGATGCCTTCCCTCTGTGTCTCTGTTGGGATTTCTGAACTCTTGTTAATTAGCCTCCTCACCCCTTTGCATAGTATATGGATTTACTTTCTTCTTTTTTTTAAAAATTAATTTATTTATTTTGAGAGAGACAAGAGACAGCACGAATGGGGGAGAGGCAGAGAGAGAGGGTGAGAGAGAGAATCCCAAGCAGGCTCTGTGCAGACAGGCTCAAATGCACGAAACTGCCAGGTCATGACCTGGGCCAAAATCAAGAGTTGGAGGCTTAACCGACTGAGCCAACCAGGCGCCCCTGTGGATTTACTTTCCATTATCAGAAGCAAATACATCCCTGCAGGGAACATGCAGATGGGTGGGAAGTCTTTTCTTGAACAGATTAATGGCACGATAGAAGGATGACTGTTGGATGGGAACTAGGGAGAATGGGAACTAATATGTACTGACCTGCACTCCTTTGCAGGACCAGGCTGGGTGAAGGAGCTTGCATGTTGCCATCATGCCAACCCTGCAAGAAAAGTATTAACTCCATTGTAGAAATCTGCCCAAGGCCACAGCTAGCCCATGGAGAAGGGAGTCCAACCCAGATCTATTCAATGCCAAGGGTCATCCTTTATACAAAATCTGAGAAACTCCACTGACTCAGAGCTATAAGGCCAAGTCAACCTGGCTTGGGGAAAGGACTGCTCCAGGGAGGGAAGGCCTCCTCCCAAATCCCCCAGGAGATGAAGCACTGGAGCTCAGTTATGTCTTTGGTCCAGGTAGAAGATTGCAGTTTGTTGCAAAAAAATTGATCTCCATCAGGCTATTACTACTTGTGGTTATATTTAACTATTGTTCAGTTGCTCAGTAGCTTTTTGTCATGGGGGTGGGGAATAGGTCAGAAGCCCAAGGAACTATTTCTGGGCTCTGGCCTTTGGGAAAGCAACCTTGTCCTGTTTACACATCCTCCCTCTGGATTTGCACAACCTGACCCAGAGGTGACCCAGAAAGGTCACCCTCCAAGCCCAGGTAAATAGAGGCAACCAAACAGTCTCCAGTTAGCCAATGGCTATTGAGCAACCAAGGGAGCCCAGAACCCTACAGAAGGCAACTATGATAAATGTAGAAGAAAAGAGCAGCGTCAGACTCCTTGGACTGCTGGAGCAGAAGCATAGTCCTATCTGGGGGCGGAGGTCCCACAGTGCAAGTTCCAAGCCCCTCTCTCACATGACTCTTGGGCCAGTCACCCTTCTTAGCAACCACCCAGTAATACCACCAAGCTGAGGTGTCAGCACAAGCATGAACCCTAGTTTATCTTGTAGAGTGAGAGGAGGAAGAAGGAAGTCTCTTATTCAGCAGTGAATAATAGATGGATGAATCAGGTCTCCTTCAGAAAACAAAACTGAAGGGAAGAAGGGGCCTGTGTCTGTCACCTTCTTCAAAAAGTCAGGTGGGAAAAAAAATGATGTAGGACAAGAGGCTGGCTCTGGGGGAGAGAAGGGATGTGGAGCCTGGTTGCTCTACAGAACTCAGGAAGGAAGCCAGTTGGAAGGGAGCCCCCAGGTCACACATCTGAATATGTCACTGCCAAGTCCCCAGAAACCAAAAAGCCTGCATCAACCTGTCAGGAACTGGACATTCTGCCAATCCTGAACTCCCAGAACCAACCTGCTTCCTCCTCTTTTCCACCAGCTATTTCAGACTCTACCAGTGGAAGCTCATCTTCAGTCCTCATTTTCTTTTTCAAAAAATTTTTTTAATGTTTTATTTATTTTTGAGAGAGAGAGAGAGAGAGAGAGAGCGAGAGAGCAGGGGAAGGGCAGAGAGAGGGAGGCACAGAATCCGAAGCAGGCTCCGGGCTGTCAGCACAGAGCACAATTCAGGGCTCGAACCTGTGAACGGTGAGATCATGACCTGAGTTGAAGTCAGACACTTAACCGACTGAGCCATCAAGGTGTCCTTGGAGGAGAGAATTTGAGAAGTGGCCAAACCCCACCAATAGCTCTGTAACTGAGGGGCGGTCTTCACCAACTAGGATTGGGATGGGGGCTAAACAAAATATATACACTTGTTGAGCCCAGCGCGCTCCCTTGGGACCAAATACATGTATTTGTTCTTTCTCTGTGATAGATATTGTCCTTTGGGGGATCGGGGGGGCGGGGGGAGAGAGAAAACTTCTCTATTGAGTTTGCACATTTTGTGACTGCCCCAGGAGCTTCATCACCTCCCCTTCTACCATCCTAATCCAAGACCTTTCTTCCTAAATGGCCTTCCTGCTTCCTATTGGGTCCTAGACTTTATTCTCCATACAGCAGCCAGAGAGATCTTTTTAACAACATAAATTGTGGGGCACCTGCGTGGCTCAGTCTGTTATGCGTCTAACTTCCGCTTGGGTCATGATCTCACGGTCTGTGAGTTTGAGGTCTGCATTGGGCTCTGTGCTGTCAGTACAGAGTCTGCTTGGGATCCTGGGTCCCCCTTTCTATCTGTCCCTCCCCTGCTCATTCACTCTCCCTCCTCTCAAAATAAAGAAACTTAAAACATAAATCCTTACCTTGTCACTTTCTTGTTTAAAACTGTTCAAATGCCCCATCACACTTAAGAGTAGAATTTAAACAGTTCGCCATGGGTGACGGAGCCCTACGGTGACCTGCACCCCGCTGACTCCACCTCCCATCATTCTTCCCCGGGGCCCATTCTGATGCAGCCACACAGACCTTTGTGTCTGAGCTCACCAAGACTATGACCTCTTCAGGGCTTTGGTACTAGCTTTCCCCTTTGCCCAGAATACCCTTTGTTCCTACCTGTCATGGAGGACTTGTCTGACCACTCAAACGAATTGGCCCACCGACCCCCCCCCTCACCCCCATGAGTGATACTGACTCAACCAGTCTCGTCTAGTATTCGCTTACTCGTTCATTGTCTGTCTTCCCCGCAACAACACAAGCCCCAGAAAGGGAAGGCACTGTGTCTATCACTGAATCTCTAGTGCCAAGCAGAACCTGGCGCGTAGATCTCTAGTATTCGTCAGATAAATGAGCTTTTCAAATCTGAACAATCCTGAGAGGTATGTGAGAAAACGGAGGTTCTGTCAGACTCTGGATCAGAGTCCTGGTCGGTCTGAATACAGTCCTCGCCTTCCTTCCAGACACCTCGTCCCTTGCCACCGCGGGAGCAGCTCCCCTACCCCTCCTCACTTAATCCCCCTCTCCTGGAGGGATAGGCCGGAATTCCAATCTTGTCTCCGAGCCTGGTGCCAGCTCCCAAGTCCTCTCACGTTTCGGGGGCTCAGAGACGCCACCCTTTTCTTAAAACGGACCCTGTCGGGTGCGTGCAACCCCCCTTCCCTGGGTCCCCAATCAGGGCAGAGAGGAGTCCCGCACCGTCTATGGTAAAACCGGACGGGCCCCCTAGCCCACCGGTGGTATCGCCTCAACTCCCCGACTCTGTCCCTCTCCCTGCTGGGGAGCCCCTGGGCCGCGTGGGGGCGAGGAGGAGGCTCCAGGCGTCAAGGGCAACGAGGACATTCAGGCCCGAATTGGGGATGGGCCAACTTGGCGCAGTAGAACCTTTCTTCAGCGAGGCCTCGTTTGCCGGCCGGGCGGCTTTGGAGGAGACACCCGGCTTAACCGTCCCTCCCGCTCGCACCCTCCCCCTCCCGGCCCAGTCTGCGGAGGCGCGCCTTCCTGCCCGCCCCGAGTTCGGGGGCTGCTGCCGCGGGAGCGTTCCGCCTCGCTCCGGAGGGCACCCCCCCCCCCCCCCCCCCCCCCCCCAGGCGTGGAGCTCCGAAGCCTTCGGCAGCGTCTGGCCCTTCGGAGCTGTGGTGGGCGAGGGCCCGCGGGTTTCCTCCAGCTGGGGAGGACGCAGAGCGGAGGCGGAGGCCGAGGAGGTTCCAGGCCCGAGGCCCGGCGGGCCGGGGCGAGGGAGACGCGCCCACCATTCGCCATCCGGGGCGCGAGCGGTCCTCTAGGGACCTCGCCGGCGACCCGTAGCTCGGGCACGCGCCTGTCGCAGCCCGCAGGAAGGAGGGGTCCGGCCTGAGGCCCAGGGCGGCGGCCGCCATGGAGATCCCCTCGGCCCAGGGCCGGCGCCTAGGGCCTTGGGGGCGGCCCTGACCGCCCTCCTCCCTGCCCGGACCGGGTCGCGGACGTGCCCCCTGCGGCATTCGGCCACCTCTGCGTCTCCGCCCTCCCCGGGCCGCGCTGCTGCCTGGGCGCGGCGGCGGCGACGGCGCCCTGTTGAATGGGCTGTGAGGGCCCAGGTTTGAAGCGCTGGCGAACGCGGCCTCCGGGGGCGCAAGGCAGCAGCAGCGGTGGCGACCAAACGGGTGTTGGAGTTGGCGGCGGCCATGGAGGGCCTGGCTGGCTATGTATACAAGGCGGCCAGCGAGGGCAAGGTGCTGACCCTGGCCGCCTTGCTTCTCAACCGGTCTGAAAGCGACATCCGCTATCTGCTGGGCTATGTCAGCCAGCAGGGAGGGCAGCGCTCCACGCCCCTCATCATCGCGGCCCGCAATGGGCACGCCAAGGTGGTGCGCTTGCTGTTAGAACATTACCGGGTGCAGACTCAGCAGACGGGCACCGTCCGCTTCGACGGGTAGGTACATCCCAAACCCTCTCCAAGCGCTCCGAGAGCCCCCCGCTCCCCCCGCCTCCACTCTCTCTTCCTAGAGGTATCACTGCTTCCTTTCTGTGCATCCTCCTGCCGCATTAATGACCACTTCATCTTCCAGGGCTAATACTTCATCCCGTGTGTTGCTCATCCTCCTCGGTCCCTACCCCTCATTCCCTCTCCTCTGTGCGTAAATAGCCACACCTCTGTCTTGATATCTAATCGGTATTCTTCTCCACTAGAGAGTCTGTGAGCAAGTAGTATGGAGGAGGTGCACCTTTCCAGGTTTTACCTTTGTCGATGGTGGGGGTCGGAACCGAGAGCAGAAATTAACGCGGTCGGCAATTAACATCGAAGACTTCTGTTTGATGACTTAGTTGGTCACCCCGTTTTTACTCCTTCAAGTGATGGTCCCTTCAGGCAGGTTGCTGGGGACTTCATGTCAAAATAAGCGCCTAGAACTCCAGCGTCTGGAGGGGTCGTCGGGCAGCCAGACATCCCAAGACATGATTCTGACTCTTCCACGTTCCTCGAGGTAGAGCTGTTGGCTGCAAAAATGGCCCTGGGCCTGGTATAGCAGATGATGCCATTGTTAATATACGTTATCTTGTGATATTGTGAGGAAACTTGATTGTTTGCTCTTCTTTGAGATGGGGAGTTAAATTCTTATTGTCGAAGTTAAAGTTTGGTTTTTAGGTCTAATTGTACATATTTTTGGGGTGTGATAATAGTTAACGCAGAATTGTCAGGTTTGACAGTGTCTGCTGTGCTGGATGATTATAAAGTGTTTT